GAAGCACGTTTGGAGTCTGAAGCAAAGTAGAAGAAATTACTGCATCAAGTGGTCCATCTTGAAACGAGCTGCTGCGTACACGCCTGGTGGAAAGCGATGTGGCCTCTGCTTGGAAGAGAAATTATGTATCCTGAAAGCGAAAGGAAACAATTCACTGAACACGCGATCAGAGTTTTATGCAAAGTGCTGTCACAAGGAAAAATTTAGCGCGTGCAAATTAAAACCGGTGACGATAGACAAACCTCCGCGTCAGCGAGCGACCGTTGATATTGACGAATCAAACACTAACTGAATTAATTGCCTGAAGATCGTCTTGAATAAGGCGTGAAACTTGAGTAGCAATAATTAATTTTAAGATATAAATATATCTTGTTCTACTATAATACTAGTGTTGAGCACTTTATTATCTACTACAACAAATATATATATATATATATATATATATATATATATATATATATATATATATATATATATATATATATATATATATATATATATATATATATATATTCGGCAAATGTCGTCGGCAAATGTCGTCATGCACAAAAACCGGTTTCGAGTAAACAAGGTCGTTAACAAAACCTAATGACCCAAGCATGCATTGTTTCACCTAAGCATTGTTTCGCCTACACGCATTCCGAACATTCTTTCGATAGCATAAAAGCAACCTACAATTTCGAAATTATTCACCACCTGATGATTCCTATACGGATGAAACAGACTGTTGTGGTTCTTTGAGGTAAAACGAAAAACTATATTACGCTCTATCTATATGGTATTGAGCACTTTTTGTGTTTCGTAAACCAAAATCTTAAGCTATATATATATATATATATATATATATATATATATATATATATATATATATATATATATATATATATATATTACGTGTGTTTGATTGTTTTTTGGGACACCCTGTAGAGATAATTCCTAATATCCATTCCTATATATGTAAGTGGATTTTAATTTGATGTGAGTGGATTTTAATTTGATGTGAGTGAATTTTAATTTGATGTGGTGAATTTTAATTTGATGTGAGTATATATATATATATATATATATATATATATATATATATATATATATATATATATATATATATATATATATATATATATATATATATATATATATATATATATATATATATATATATATATATATATATATATGCATATATATATATATATATATATATATATATATATATATATATATATATATATATATATATATGTTAATTTGATATGAACAATATTAATTTGGTGTGAGCAAATTTAATTTCTTTGAAACTAAATAGACAGTCTAAACTTCACTAAAAAGAGTCATTGCTGCCCCGCTACCGTCGGTAAAAGAAAGCTTGTGCTTTCCGAAGACAACAAGTGGATCAGTTTTATATACTAAGCCTAAGGTATATATATATGTTCAGTTAGAAGAAATCGCTGAAATATGCGGGGGCGGGGTGGTCTCACACTGCATGCAACCTCTGCGGGTCTGAACTTCTCCTAAAGAGAATAAACCCCTGGCAGTATAGAGGAAATTACCAATAGGGCGCATCTGGGCACATTGCTGCTTAATGGGTTAATTAACCAGACATTTTCTCAGATTGTTTCGTAAACCCAATTCCCATTCACGAGTAAAACTGTTTGGCGTTAGACCACTATGGTTAAACAAAATAAAATACAAAAAGAGTGGACTTGGGTGAGTTAATTGGGAAGAAGATGGGAAGAAGATGGTAAACGTAACTCGAGAAAAAATCTTTGTGTCCCGCTTCTATGCAGCGCCAACATGTGCCCCGTCCCCTTTTACTCTGGCTCTGTATAAAAGTACATTTTGCATGTTCCTTAGAAAGCCAGACTACTGACTGAAAATATGCCACATGCATGATATTGAACTACATTCGGCATGCTCGCATTTTGCTTGATGCTGGAATATCATTGTTTTAATGTAAACATTAGACGTTTGTCTTTTAATTATGTTACTAACATGTCCTATTTCCTCTAGTGCAAATAGATATATTCTTTACAGTTTTGGCTATAATCGCATGCATGTTTGACATGATGCCGATGATGTTACAATCAATTGAATTGCATTTTGATCCTATTATTTTAAAATAACGAAAGAAAGCTATTCTAGTACATCAATTAATACACTACATTAACTTACCTTGGTAACCTTGGCCGTGATTCGTGAATGCTCTATTATAATAGTCTCAGACTCTCAGTACAACTACAAGTTAAAAGTTTTATTATTATCTCAAAGTAGAGGTCTGCTTACCGATAACGGAAAATGGTTCAACCCAAGAAATGTTGAATCGTTTTATATAGTGTTTAATTAATAAACACTCTAAACAGGATGTAAATTCCTTAGCTGCATGTTCAGTCATGCCAAGCCAAATTACGTGCTATGTCACGCAATAAGGCTAAGCGCATTCAGCATTAGCAGAAATACACAGAAAAATTTCACCTTTTCGGGGACTTGCAAAGACGAAGCAGACACTTTCGCTTAGCCGTACGTTAAAGTTAGAGTTCCCTATAGCCGTTATGTGAAGTTATATGTCGCATGCTTCATTGCATTTCTTTGTTTTGCCTTTTGTCTCTCACTCGTGTGAACCAGGTCCATTTTAAGACAAAGATCTTGCTTAAGCCTGGTTCATAGATATCTTATATACACTAGATAGCGCATCTCTCTAAGTAAAATTGAAGCCAAGAATATCCCAGCGGTTACCCCCATTTGAATAGATGGCGGCCATGTTGAAGTTTCCCACTCGCTAATAAACGCTTAAAAAACAACAATAACTTTCATCATTTGAACAGTTTGAAAATGTATTTGGAATAGGTTTAACTTAATGTTTTAGTTCCCTGTTTAAGAAATAGAACACATACGAGTCTTCTCATTTCATTGGAATACCTAGCTGAGTCTGCAATCCGGCACGGCTTCAATTTTTGAATTTCAGAATAATTAGATGCACTATCTAGTGTATATAAGATGTCTATGGCCTGCATGGTTCCCATACGGTCGTAATGGTCGTAAAAATAGAGTCACGATTTTTCTCAATGGCCAGTTTATAATATATAGTTTATAGCTTAATAGTCATACCTGTAAACCACATATAAATCATAAGTATATTCTCTAGTTATAATCACTCCGCGTATTTTCAGTTCTAAAATGTTGCATTTCGGCTGATGAGAAAGATCGTGTCTCAATCTTTACGATCGTCACGACCACATGAAAACCAGGCTTAATTAAGTCTCATCATATTATAAAATACCAGTTTTTATTAGTACTTTTTATCAGTACGTAATATTTGGATCATCCCACCGACCATAACGTTGTATCAACGTTGAAATTTAGCAGAAAAAATAGTTGCGACGTCGACAACCTAATATCAACGTTGTTCTGATGTCGTTTTATAAACGTTGGTTCAACAGCAGCTATGAATAGACGGCGAATCAATGTTTATTCGTGGTTCATTATACGACGTCAACTTGTCAAGTTGGCAATCTCAAAGGAAGGTAATAGCCTGGGTACCAGGTTGTCTCAAAGATCTCGGATTCAACGTTGAATTATGCTTGACGAGATTGGCAACCTAATCTCTACGTTGTTTCAACGTCAAAAGAGTAACGTCGCGGATCCAATTTTCATTTTCAACCTTTTTCAACGTCTGAGGGGTCATGTTCAACGTTGATTCAACGTTGAATCAACGTCATTTTTCCCGCTGGGATAATTTTCTGGATGTCGATGTTTCTTAAACGTATGAATAGTATAAATGCAGATCTAGTGAAAAAAAATTTTATTGAATAAACTGTTCCCCTTTGTCTGTTCGTTACTAGCCTACCGTTTGTATGTGAATGATCTTCCAGAGGTAACTAAGAATTCTACTGTTGCACTTTTTGCTGACGACAGTAAATGTTACCGTGCAATTCATTCACCAGCCGATCGAGATCTCATCGCCAGAAATTTAAGACATTGAGCCCGCGATGCGTCAGCGGAAATCAATGAAAGGTAAACACTATCAACTAGTATTTTACATTAGGAGTGCCAATATACAAATAATGAATGTTTATGAGTGCAATGGTAAGAATATTTTCATGAGGTGAAAGATGGAATGTTCCATTCAACGAGGCGACAGCCGAGTTGAATGGATCCGAACATTCCATCTTTCACCGAATGAAAATATTCTTACCATTGCACGAAGAAACATTCATTATTTGTTTTATATAATACCAAAAGTCCAGAACAGACTAATACATTCGTATGAGAAGCATTTTGAGGGATGCGATTTATCGAAAACACAAAGAGTGCAATTGTACTATACGTTTTATTCCATTGCACTCGCGGAGAGTGCAATGGAACGCGTTCCATTGCACTCTTGGGAAATGGAATTTTCTATTCAATATCACGTGACCATAAACAGCCAATTAAACGATTAGAATTTAATAAGGTATTATATAAAAAGCTCTATAGAACGCATTTAAAATTTAAGATTCTAATTTTGTACTCATGGATTCTTTTTACTACCATTCTAAGGAAGGTAATGACAAAAAATGAAAACAGTTGGCCATCGGGAACTTGTTCCATTCGGAAGGCTGATTTTGACAATTTCGTCTTATATAAAGCATTTAAAAATAGCTGTGAAATCCCACAAAACCCCGATTTTGACGCACAATTGTTCAAATCAAGCACTCTATTATGAATTTGTACTCACGGAATTTTAAAATTCAAAGTTACCTCTACCAAAATACAAGTATTCCCTATAAGAAAAAATGTAGGGAACTTGTTCCAAAATCCAGTTGAAAGTACGAAATATTTGTGCTTTTGCAAGCCCATATTCTCATATTACATTGATATGTAGTGCTGCGCGAGAATCGATAATACAAACCGATTTTTCGCGAGCAAAGACTCCCCGAATATAGTTGAAAAGCATATCAAAATTGTCCTCGAAAGATGCAGTTTCTCGGTATAACAGTCATTGTTAGCAGCGGTATGTTTGTGGCCGGAAAATTACGAACGAACTCGGGAGCCGTCGTGAAATATATTACCATTTCGCGGGCCCGTGAAACGCGAAATATGTAAATACGATTCCACAACCTCGAGAGGTTGACGGCTTTGTATTTTCATATCTTCGGTTCGGTGCATGCTATGGAGACAGAAATACAACGATTCGATTCAGAAATAAAAGATCAACATAATTACTCACGAAAGTTATAGTCAAATATCAACATTGTAGCGATTTATGGGCCTTGGAAGTCAAACGAGATCATACTATCAAATTACGCAATTGTCTGAACAAATATATAGATTAGCCATACCTTTCGCCGAAAATAACTTCGGCCCCTTCGAACATATCGTCTTTGTAATAGTCTTGTTCGAATCCCAGTCAAAAACACTATTTGGAGTGTTATTTGCAAGTCTGTATCTTCAAATTTGCATCTCCTATCCACTAATCACTATCACGGTATTTCCATTTCTTGTTATATGCTGAAGGACCGCTGTATTGCGCGCCGGCTCAAATGTCTTAAATTTCTGGCGATGCCTACAGACTGATCTTGACTCTATGCACAACTGGTCGATCTCTTGGCAATTGAAATTTAATGTATCTAAGACGCTCTTGCTCAGGGTATCTCGGAAACGCAACTCTCCAACTCACTCTTACCACCTTAACAACCAACCTATTAAGACTGTAGCCAAACAAGTCGACCTGGGTGTGGTTGTGAGCAATGACCTTAAGTGGTCCCCTCACATTGCCAGCTGTACTGCTAAAGCCAACCGTTTGCTTGGTTTTCTTCGGAGAAATTGTTCTCAAATGACTGATACTCGCTGCCGTCGGCTTCTCTACCTCTCTCTTGTCCGATCTCACCTGTCTTACGCCAGTGAGATCTGGGCACCTCAAGCCTCGTCACGCGATCTTGCGATCCTGGAGGGTGTTCAGAGACGAGCTACTAAATTTATACTTCAAGATTATGAGTTGTCTTATCTTGAGCGTCTTAGGAAACTTAATTTATTGCCTATATCTTACTGGCTTGAAATAAAGGATCTCATCTTTTTTTTCAAATGCAAACAAGGCCTCTACGACCTAGATATCTCCTCTTTTGTCACCTTTTCTTCTAATCGCTCATCTCGCACCCGTTCAAGCAAGGACAACTTGCTTCAAGTCAATCCGTGCAAAACCTCTCTTTTTAGAAACTCTTTTTTAACCGAATTGTCTTTCTATGGAACAATCTCTCCCCAATCATTCGTAACAGTTCGTCTGTTTCATCCTTTAAGTTCCAGCTCCATTCTCACTACTCTTCTCAATAGACTCTTCTTTCGATGTTAACAGAATGCGCACTTGGAAAACCTACTGCTCTAAATGCCGTTCTTTCAACTTAAGCTGTTGCTCATAATCTAAACTATTAATTTTTACATAGCTATGTAAATAGTGTTCTAGTCCTTGTCTTTAATGTATGTCTACTTATTGTATTGTATCAGGTTGGTCTTTACATGGGACTCATGTCCTGTTGACCATACCTTCAATCATTGTTATATTTTTGGTATGATTGTAAAGTTAATAAATAGTTTGTTCGCTTCGGCGTAACACAAATCCTAATTATATTTGCTACTTCCCAAGTGTGCGTTGAACGCTGACAGTACCAGAGGTTATACTTATAGAACTATACAAACAAGATGAATAAAATGCGAGTAACCCTAGCTGTCGAAGCAGTTCAAAGTCTTTCAAGGAAGTTGAATAAATTGGCCAAGAAAGGAGCAATCCGTAAGATGCCATATCCTTTACTTAAGCACCAACCTGGATTACGTGTTGGTCTGTGTGTTGTAGTACTTGTTGGATTACGGGTTGAACATACTCCTTTGATGCATGTCTGAGTGCAATTCTGAACGCCAGAACCGCATTCGAAGGAACAACCACCTTTATTGCAAACCTGATTACAGTTCTTAGCATTGCAGGATAGGACGCAATTCGCATCACATGTCTGAGAACAATTCTCCACTCTAGCACTACATGTTGTAGTACAGCTACCATCATCGCATGTTTGACTACAGTTCTTTGAATCACAAGATAGCGAACACGTATCATCACATGTCTGAGTACATTTGTCCACGTCAGAACTGCATGCCATTGAAAAATCCCCTTTGTGACCAAACTGAGTGCAATCTTTAGTATTGTTGCAAGATAATGAGCATACTCCCCTACATGACTGTGTACACTTCTGGGAGGCATCGCAGGAAAACTTACCGTTTCTCCCAGTCCCATCATCACCACTTTGACTGCAGACGTCAACCCCAGCACTACATGTTGCAGTACAGTTACCATCGTCGCATGTTTGAGTACAGTTTTTTGCATCACACGAAAGCGAGCAAGGATGATCACATGTTTGAGTACATTTGTCCACGTCAGCATTGCATGTCATTGAAAAATTCCCTTTGTGACCAAATTGAGTGCAATCTTTAGTATTGTCGCAAGATAATGAGCATTTTCCCTTACATGACTGTGTACACTTCTCTGCGGCATCGCAGGAAAACGTACCGTTTTTCCCATAATCACAACTTTGACTGCAGACGTCAACCTTAGCACCACATGTTGCAGTAAAACTACCGTCATCGCATGTTTGACTACAGCTCTTTGCATCGCAAGATAGCGAACACGTATCATCACATGTCTGAGTACATTTCTCCACGCCAGCGCTGCATGACAGTGAAAACTGCCCGCGGCGTTCACCTGATTGAGTACAATCTTTAGTATTGCCGCAAGATAATGAGCATGGTCCCCCTCTACATTTCTGTACACACTTCTTTGATGCATTGCAGGAAAATTCACCGTTTTTCAGCCTACCATTTTGAATACATTCCCTTACCCCAGCGTCACATGTTACCTGACAGTCATCATGATAACCGCATTGTTGGTTGCATTGATCAATGTTGGCTTGGCATCCCATATTACAGCCCTCTGCATTGCATCTCTGTGCACAAGTCGTGGAATTAACACAGGAAGAAAAACATTTCTTGAAGTCACAACTCTGGTCGCATGCAGGTGTCTTTATCCCTGCAAATATCGCCTGCAGAAACTGGATTTCCGCACCATTGGTAGATACAGTATGTAATAAGCAGCATCATCATAAACCGTCTATTAGCTGTTGAAGTATAACTCATCTATCAAAAGAAAAAAAAAATGTGTGATTAGCAGGCAGAAAAAGCTGTTGTTTTTACAATACTTGTTTGTCACGAGTTAAAACTACAATCAGATATGGCTTGATCAAAAACAAATATAAATACTGGATATATAAACACATGTAAGGATACTGTAATAATTTATATTGGTAATAGTACTGTTTTAAGTGCAATTTTGCATGTACACTATTAGTCATGCCATGGAATTTTTCGCTAGAGACATGAATGCTAGGCCTATGGTCCATACAATCAGGGCCGTCGAGGGGGGGGGGATGGCAGGGGGAGGCAAATTGTCCCGGGCCCCACCTTAATAGGGCCGCAACTTGACAGCTAGAGCTTAGTTCTTTATTAAAATTGGTCAGAGCATTTTTGAAAGTGAGGGCCCTTTACAGTACTTCCATATGCAGTCTAGTTAATGTCTAAGGGGTCCTGCTACCAAAAGAATTTTTAAAAATTCAAAAAAATTTTTTGGTCTTAAAATCATCATTAGTATGTGTAGATGTCTGTGAAAGCAAAAATAGGCCTGGTAGAACTTTGCTTTCTCACAGAATTTCATCTTTTTGAAAGGGTAGGCAACCATTTTTCACGTTGCCATGGAAACGGGTTAGTGTATTTTATTTGTTATGCCTTGTTTCTTGGTTGTTTGTGGGCGGTTTGAATTTTTTTTTGCTGATTATGTAAATCCACAACCTGAGGGACTGGTAACAAGTTAAGGCCTGGTCGCATAGCTATTCTAGACCACAATTTTCTTCACTGTTCGAAAACATTGCTATATAGAGCTGAAAACACATCAAAGATTCACACTTTGTTTGTATTTTATTTTATTTTGTTGCTTGTTGGTATCTGAAAATAGTCTCTTAGAGATTATATTTTCTTTGCAATGCCAAAAGTATAAAAAAGCGACAATTTCGTGGCCAGAGTCGATGGGATGTTGACACATCAAATTCAAACAACAGTGTGCACACCAGTGCTTGCTTCTGTATGAAAGGTAACGAGTCAGAGTAATGAAAGAAGCGAAGATTTTGATGGGGCCACACAGCTATAGACTGATTGAGCTGTCAAATTTAGTCAGTGCGTTTCAGCCTTTACAGTCTTTACATAAATTGGCATCTGGAGGAGAGTTGAGAATAAGCGAAGTCGAGGCCCGTAGATTGGGAATAGCTCTGTGATCAATGTAGAGTGTTCCAAATGCGACGTCAAGATCGAGCTTCAAACCTCTGGGAACAACAGCCAAGTGTGAAAGCCCCAAAATACCATGGATGATGGACACAAACAGGCATATGGTTTACTCCGGAATGGAGTGGGTGTAGGAAGAGAGGCTACTGTATGTCAGTTATGTGTGACATTTTCAATATGCCCCCCTCCCCTTGCCATCATAAAGCTTGGGACCAACATGTTGCTGCACTGTATGTGGCCCACAAGAAAGCTGTTGCGGAACAGTTACAGAAGGCGAGAAACAAAGTGTTTTGACTTCATCGCTCTGATGAAACTGATGTCGCAGAGATTGTGGTGAACTATGATGATATGTGGTCCAAACTAGGATACACAGCTAATATCCGGGTTGGTTTTGTCATCTCGGTTAAAACTGGCGAAGTACTTGATTTCAATTTTGAGTTGAAGCTGTGCTCAGAGTGTACATCAGCAAAGAAGGATCTTGGTGAAGATTCTGCTGAGTATGCCATTTGGTACGGTGGGTGATGATGAAGATGACTATCCGTTAGCCAGATTTGCTCGTAATGATGAGTCTAATGACACTGGTGATGCACCATTGGGTCAATTTGCCAGTAGAAATCAAGAAAAGTGACTGTGACATTCTTGCAATGATAAGTGTTGACTTTGGACAGGTACATTGCACCCAAACGTCAGAAAACACTAGCAACATTGTTTACTAACTTTAAATGGCGTTTTTCCCAAAAACCGTATTTTGGCTAGCAGCCGTTACTTAAATCTTATCTTCTCAAAGAGTATTTAAGCAATCTTGCTGATTTTTTCTAAGATTGTTCTTTGGATGTTTCTGCACAAATTAATGGATGCTTTTTACACTCTGATCAAAATTGAATGTTCTACACCAAAATTGGTATTGAGGAGTAAGATCCTTACCTAATACTTGTTGCCATGGCAACAAAATAGAGAGTTAGACAAAAAGCATCCATTATTTTGTTCACAGGGATGTAATCTATTATTCAACTTAAATTCATCAAGTTTCGATGCTTAGATTTTGACTAGATAGATTTTAAATATAGAAAGTTAAAAATTCACTTCTCTGGTTTGCAAGGTTGTTATACATTTAAGTTTTTTCTTGGGAGGTCATCTGTGATAATATTTGTGTAGACCATGTTATAAGCTTCAAAATGATATTTGGCATGTTGCATATGCATTAAACCATAATAAGATAGAGCCGATGTTGCATCATAGCTTCGCGAACAAAAAATTGATGTCATGGGGTGCCCAGGGAACCCAGGGAAAATTTTGCCCGGGCCTGTATGCAATGCTTCACGTCAACAAACGTTCCAAAGAAAATGAACGATATTGTATTATTATTGTTACGAAACATCACTTATACGTAAAATTTTAGGTAAAAATAAAATAACACAAAATGTTTGCTTGAGAGCAGGTGAAATGTTCGTGCAAGCAAATATTATCCAAAGCATAATGAGAAGAGATAATGGATATTTTGCCACAAGTCAAATTAGCAAAGTAAGGTAAATATTTCGGTTCTTCGGAAAACATTCATTATTTTTTCCATTAGGCTGTGACAGTTTGTTAAACTAGCTGCAGCTGTGTATGTGGAGGTGTCATGTTGTGATTGGCCTGTTTCCTATAGTTTGTCTTGTGAGCAGATTGTTTAAAGAGAGCAGCTGCCTGAGGTCTCATGAACATTGACCTTTCACGTGGACAGACGCAGGCGTAAAGATGAATCATCCCAAGCTGAATAACACTCGGTCATGCAATTAAAATATTACGTCATCAAAATCTTAGTTCGATAAAATTGTGAGTAAATTTAGTTTAGTAGGTAAAGTAAGGTTCACATAGGTATAGTTTGAAGATTTTACTATAATATTTTGATAAGTATTTTAAGTTGTGAACATATTTTAACATTGATCTATTGAACAGCGAACCGACTCGACAAGTGCGATAACGCCTTAAGTAAACAGAATGTGAGAGCTGGCACGAGCTGGCAACGCCAACCCACTCTTCCATAGCTCAACGTTGCTTGGCTGGATACAGATCACACCACTTGTTAGACCACGTGTACAAAGATCCCCTCAACCGTCAGTATAAAAGTGCGTGCACAATCCAAATTCGTCAGTGAACTCAACGAAGTAAAAATTATGTATGAAAAGTTGTAGAAAGCTCAAAACGAAACAAGACAAAACGACAAAGAAAAACGAACTAAAAACAACGAAGAAAGGCTGAAGGAAGAAGAGAACTTTGAAGCAGAACTATTCCAATATTAACATTAGTAACAATAATTAGAAACACTGTAACGATTCCCTACCTCGCGTAGAAAACGAAATAAAATCGTATATTCTAACAACTGGTGGAGGATTGGCGTTTTCGTGAACGGTTCTTGGCACTCATCCACGCGTCGTAAAATAACAAAATCTAGAAGATCCCCCTGATGAGTCAGTGGCAAGATGAACTGTCGATGTTATTTGGCATTGTTGTTCTTCATCAAACTTGTGGCCGCAGTTTCTGGGACAATTGTTCAGGCAGATCTGCACTTTGTAAATCAAGGTAATCTTCCAGCCGAGTGTTACAATCCACGTGGTAATATGTCCCTTGTCACGGAGGATACCGTTTGGCCTATGTGAACCTTACTTTACCTACTAAACTAAATTTACTCACAATTTTATCGAACTAAGATTTTGATGACGTAATATTTTAATTGCATGACCGAGTGTTATTCAGCTTGGGATGACTCATCTTTACGCCTGAGTCTGTCCACGTGAAAGGTCAATGTTCATGAGACCTCAGGCAGCTGCTCTCTTTAAACAATCTGCCCACAAGACAAACTATAGGAAACAGGCCAATCACAACATGACATCTCCACATACACAGCTGCAGCTAGTTTAACAAACTGTCACAGCCTAATGGAAAAAATAATGAATGTTTTCCGAAGAACCGAAATATTTACCTTACTTTGCTAATTTGACTTGTGGCAAAATAGCCATTATCTCTTCTCATTATGCTTTGGATAATATTTGCTTGCACGAACATTTCGAGCCAAAAAGCGATCGATACCGATGTAGAAATGGATCGGTAACAACGGGAGTTCTCTCTAAAGGGGGCGGGGTGACAGAGCGTGGGGGTGACATGGGGTGGGGGGGGGGGAGCAACATGGTAGGTATGGAAATTTCCAGTATTTATTTTTGGTCTAGCAAAGTTTTTAATTAGTGTTTTGGATGAAAGGTTTAACATCTTCAAATTAAAGATTCCGATATACCTAAGATAAAATGATCTAATGGTAGGATGATGGTAACCATTCAAGTACAGATTATTGAAATCATCACAGAAATTCACAGCATTATTTCAACACTACAGTTGCAAGAACTTTCCAGGTTATATATTAATAATACCATTGGTCCTCCCACAGGGAAGGTTGACAGGATGGGCTAAAATAAACACAGTTAGTATAGGTAATCATGCGATGGCGAGTACAAAAAGGATTAATAGTACGAGTGATGTTTGGAAATTTTGCCAAAATTGGACAAGCCGCCGGGGCGAGTCCAATTTGGCAAATTTCCAAACATCACGAGTACTATTAATCCAAAATTGTACGAGCAACATCGCATGATTACTTGTTTATTATTAGCATGACAAAGTTGGATACTTCTCAATGTTAACATCATATATTCTCTCGCCAAAGCCCAGTCCTGCCAGACTTTCAACCAAAATTTGGTGCTTTTGCCCGTATTTTCATTTAGTTCTTTTGTTAAAGCAAAATTTGGTGCTTTTGTTCGTATTTTCATCTAGTTCCCCAAGGGCAATTTCATTTCACGCTTGTGTTTAAAATACCTTTCCGCCATTTTGTTTGTTGTGGGAAAAACATTAATTGTACTGCAGTACAATTAATGAAATAATTGTACTCCTCTCAACCAATCAGCATCCAGTAATTTTGTCATGCTAATAATAAAGAAAGTAATACTACATACAATTGTTATAAAGATAAAATAGTCTAGGCTAAGTATGTAATTATAGGTAAGCGCAAAACTTGATGTAAAGTGCATTGGATCCGATCGAATCGATCATATCCAGATGTAAATTTGAACTATAGAAATGTTAACCGTAATAAAATAGTACAGTAAATACTAAGGTTGCATTCTAACTATATTAAAGGTTACTTGTATATACAGCAACTGCACGATAACGACGCCCAAACGTTCCAGGCTATCAAAATTAACTAATTAAATGAAGTCGAAATGAACAGGCTGTGCCTGTGTGCTATTAATTGCGTAACGCTCGTTCATTCTAAATTAAGTTATAAGTTATACTCTGATATACTAGTAATTTGTTTTTGTTATTTTTCTGTTATTCTTTGATACAATATTGCTGCATGCACCTTTCCACATTATGGATGTACTTTGCACATTTTCTACAGCAGACGCAGTGACACGTAGGATGAAGCACACCCATATACAAACTATATTGAGTAGAAAAGTGAGAGTAGCTATGGTGGGAAGCATACTTATGGGTCAAATTTATTATTTCAGAGCGGAGTAATGATTAATTTAACATAACACCGTTTCTTATAACATACTGATTTGTGCCGTCCATTTTATTTGCTTTTCAGACATGCGTATTCTGAACTATAACGTTCAATACAGATGACATGTGTTTTTCTGAAATATATCTGCCTATCATCAGGCAATCATGGCAGCTTTAAATTATTTAAACCAATTCATTGTGGGAAATAGCGGGAAAAGCACTTTTCGGGCTTGGACATTTAAAAACATTTCGGGAGCATGTCCCCCCAGTCTTAGGAAAGTTTCGAAGTTTTTCGTCTTCGCCCGCGTTATTTTTGTCCAGCACCCTATCGCGATTAACTCCTAGAACTATCCGAAGACAACCGAAGAACATTAATAAATACAATAAAGTTTAACATGTTAACCTCTGCCGAGGAAAGAGCCTCAAATTAAAAGTGGGTAACATCTGTTTTGTCCACTTTGTTGTCAGTGAGTAATCTTGACGGTTTTGGCCTTGTTTTATGTTGCATAAATTATATCTCATTTACTGGGTTTTGCGATTTTCCATCAATACTATGCGATATTTTCCATCAATACTATGCGATATACGTATATATATATATATATATATATATATATATATATATATATATATATATATATATATATATATATATATATATATATATATATATATATATTATATATATATATATATATATATATATATATATATTATATATATTATTTATATTATATGTTTCGGCGTCCTACGCCTCATCAGTGCAGCTTGGTACACGTCTAGACACGCGATGACTTTCGTATTGATATACATGACACTTGCTCTCCCAAGCGCATGTGGTACAACACGGGCCATCAACGCATCCAGACTGATGCGCAGAGTGACATGGGGCCAGAGTGCTCAAACAACCACGAAGGAAGTGAGCTTTGGAAAATGAAAGAAAGCGAGAAAATGAGAAAAAAGGATAACCTACAAGGACAGATTGCTTGTTCTGAATCTTTCACCACTGACGTTCGAAAGGGAAATTAAGGATTTGACATTTATGTTTAAAACTTCGCATGGCTTGTATGATTTGGATGTTTTCGATTTTGTGTCATTTGTTAATCATAGTCGTACCCGTAATTGTAACAATCCTTCTCTAGTGCTTAAAGTTCCGTCATGTAAAAGTAGCACTTTTCAGTCATCTTTTAACCGTATTGTTCCACTCGGGAATCATACTTGCAAAATTGCTTCTCCTGGAGATCTTCCCAGTTTGGCAACGTTTAAATTAAATAAACCCTGAGGACAAGGTTCCTGACCCTGATCATGAGGACAAGGTTCCTGACGCTGAAGACAAGGTTCCTGAACCTGACAACAAGGTTCCTGACGCTAAGGACAAGGTTCCTAACGCTGAGGACAAGGTTCATGACGCTGAGAACAAGGTTCCTGACGCTGAGAACAAGGTTTTCTGACGCTGAGTACAATGTTCCTGACGCTGAGGACAAGCTTCCTGACCCAGAGCACAAGGTTCCTGACGCTGAGAACAAGGTCCCTGACGCTGAGGAGAAGGTTTCAGACGCTGAGGACAAGGTTGCTGACGCTGAGGGCAAGGTTCCTGACGGTGAGGACAAGGTTCCTGACGCTGAGGACAAGGTTCCTGACGGTGAGGACAAGGTTCCTGCCGTTGAGGACAAGGTTCCTGACGCTGAGGACAAGGTTCGTAAATCGTAAAGAAGAGGACAAGGTTCCTCACGCTGAGGACAAGGTTCCTGACGCTGAGAACAAGGTTCGCGACCCTGAGGGCAAGGTTCCTGACGCTGAGGACAAGGTTCCCGACCCTCAGGAAAAGCTTCCTGACGCTGAGAACAAGGTTCCCGACGTTGAGGACAACGTTCCTGACCCTGAGGACAAATTTCCTGACGCTGAGGAGAAGATTCCTGACGTTGAGGACAAGGTTCCTGACGCTGACAACAAGGCTCTTGACGCTGAGGACAAGGTTCCTCATGCTAAGGACAAGGTTCCTGACGCTAAGAAAAAGGTTCCTGACTCTGAGGACAAGGATCCTGACCCTGAGAACAAGGCTCCTGACGCTGAGGACAAGGTTCCTGACACTCCCGACAACGTTCCTGACCATGAGGACAAGACTCCTGATCCTGAGGACAAGGTTCCTGACCCTGAGGACAAGATTCCTCACGCTGAGGACAAGGTTCCTGACGCTGAGGAGAAGGTTCCAGACGCAGAGAACATGGTTCCTGACGCAGAGGACAAGGTTCCTGACCCTGAGGACAACGTTACTGACGCTGAGGACAAGGTTCCTGACCCTTAGTACAAGGTACCTGACGCTGAGGACAAGGTTCCTGACGGTGAGGACAAGGTGCCTGACGCTGACGACAAGGTTCCCGACACTGAGGACAAGGTTCCTGACCCTGATCACGAGGACAAGGTTCCTGACGCTGAGGACAAGGTTCCTGAACCTTAGTACAAGGTACCTGACGCTGAGGACAAGGTTCCTGACCCTGAGGACAAGGGTCCTGACGGTGAGGACAAGGTGCCTGACGCTGAGAACAAGGTTCCCGACACTGAGGACAAGGTTCCTGACCCTGATCATGAGGACAAGGTTCCTAACGCTGAGGACAAGATTCCTGAACCTGACAACAAGGTTCCTGACGCTAAGGACAAGGTTCCTGACGCTGAGGACAAGGTTCATGACGCTGAGAACAAGGTTCCTGACGCTGAGGACAAGGTTCCTGACCCTCGCGACAAGATTCCTGACCATGACGACAAGATTCCTGATCCTGAGGACAAGGTTCCTGACCCTGAGGACAAGGTTCCTGACGCTGAGGACAAGGTTCCTGACGCTGAGGAGAAGGTTTCAGACGCTGAGAACAAGGTTCCTGACGCTGAGGACAAGGTTCCTGACCCTGAGGACAACGTTACTGACGCTGAGGACAAGTTTCCTGACCCTTACTACAAGGTACCTGACGCTGAGGACAAGGTTCCTGACCCTGAGGACAAGGTTTCTGACGGTGAGGACAAGGTTCCTGACGCTGACGACAAGGTTCCAGACACTGAGGACAAGGTTCCTGACCCTGATCATGAGGACAAGGTTCCTGACGCTGAGGACAAGGTTTCTGAACCTGACAACAAGGTTCCTGACGCTAAGGACAAGTTCCTGACGCTGAGGACAAGGTTCATGACGCTGAGAACAAGGTTTCTGACGCTGAGGACAAGGATTCTGACGCTGAGGATAAGGTGGGTGACGCCGAGGACAAGATTGCTGACCCTGAGGACAAGGTTCCTGACGCTGAGGACAAGGTTCCAGACGCTGAGGACAAGGTTCCTGAAGCTGAGGACAAGGTTCCAGACGCTGAGGACAAGGTTCCTGAAGCTGAGGACAAGGTTCCAGACTCTGAGGACAAGGTTCCTGACGCTGAGGAAAAGGTCCCTGACGCTGAGGACAAGCTTCGTAAAGATGAGGACAAGGTTCCTGACGCTGAGGACAAGTTTTCTGACGCTGAGGACAAGGTTCCTGACCCTGAGGACAAGGTTCCTTACGCTGAGGACAAGGTTTCCGACCCTGAGGAAAAGGTTCCTGACGCTGAGGACAAGGTTCCTGACGCTGAGGACACGGTTCCTGACCCTGAGGACAAATTTCCTGACGTTGAGGAGAAGATTCCTCACGCTGAGGACAAGGTTCCTGCTGCTGAGGACAAGGCTCTTGACGCTGAGGACAAGGTTCCTGACGCTGAGGACAAGGTTTCTGACGCTAAGGAAAAGGTTCTTGACCCTGTGGACAAGGTTCCTGACCCTGAGAATAAGGTTCCTGACGCTGAGGACAAGGTTCCTGACCCTCGGGACAAGGTTCCTGACCATGAGGACAAGGTTCCTGACGCTGAGGACAAGGTTCCTGACCCTGAGGACAAATTTCCTGACGCTGAGGAGAAGATTCCTGACGCTGAGGACAAGGTTCCTGCTGCTGAGGACAAGGCTCTTGACGCTGATGACAAGGTTCCTGACGCTGAGGACAAGGTTCCTGACGCTAAGGAAAAGGTTCCTTACCCTGAGGAGAAGCTTCCTGACCCTGAGAATAAGGTTCCTGACGCTGAGGACAAGCTTCCTGACCCAGAGCACAAGGTTCCTGACGCTGAGAACAAGGTCCCTGACGCTGAGGAGAAGGTTTCAGACGCTGAGGACAAGGTTGCTGACGCTGAGGGCAAGGTTCCTGACGGTGAGGACAAGGTTCCTGACGCTGAGGACAAGGTTCCTGACGGTGAGGACAAGGTTCCTGCCGTTGAGGACAAGGTTCCTGACGCTGAGGACAAGGTTCGTAAATCGTAAAGAAGAGGACAAGGTTCCTGACGCTGAGGACAAGGTTCCTGACGCTGAGGACAAGGTTCGCGACCCTGAGGGCAAGGTTCCTGACGCTGAGGACAAGGTTCCCGACCCTCAGGAAAAGCTTCCTGACGCTGAGAACAAGGTTCCCTACGTTGAGGACAACGTTCCTGACCCTGAGGACAAATTTCCTGACGCTGAGGAGAAGATTCCTGACGTTGAGAACAAGGTTCCAGACGCTGAAAACAAGGCTCTTGACGCTGAGGACAAGGTTCCTCACGCTAAGGACAAGGTTCCTGACGGTAAGAAAAAGGTTCCTGACCCTGAGGACAAGGTTCCTGACCCTGAGAACAAGGCTCCTGACGCTGAGGACAAGGTTCCTGACACTCCCGACAACGTTCCTGACCATGAAGACAAGATTCCTGATCCTGAGGACAAGGTTCCTGACCCTGAGGACAAGATTCCTCACGCTGAGGACAAGGTTTCTGACGCTGAGGAGAAGGTTCCAGACGCTGAGAACATGGTTCCTGACGCAGAGGACAAGGTTCCTGACCCTGAGGACAACGTTACTGACGCTGAGGACAAGGTTCCTGACCCTTAGTACAAGGTACCTGACGCTGAGGACAAGGTTCCTGACGATGAGGACAAGGTGCCTGACGCTGACGACAAGGTTCCCGACACTGAGGACAAGGTTCCTGACCCTGATCATGAGGACAAGGTTCCTGACGTTGAGGACAAGGTTCCTGAACCTGACAACAAGGTTCCTGACGCTAAGGACAAGGTTCCTGACCCTGAGGACAACGTTACTGACGCTGAGGACAAGGTTCCTGACCCTTAGTACAAGGTACCTGACGCTGAGGACAAGGTTCCTGACGGTGAGGACAAGGTGCCTGACGCTGACGACAAGGTTCCCGACACTGAGGACAAGCTTCCTGACCCTGATCATGAGGACAAGGTTCCTGACGCTGAGGACAAGGTTCCTGAACCTGACAACAAGCTTCCTGACGCTAAGGACAAGGTTCCTGACCCTGAGGACAACGTTACTGACGCTGAGGACAAGGTTCCTGACCCTTAGTACAAGGTACCTGACGCTGAGGAGAAGGTTCCTGACGGTGAGGACAAGGTGCCTGACGCTGACGACAAGGTTCTCGACACTGAGGACAAGGTTCCTGACCCTGATCACGAGAACAAGGTTCCTTACGCTGAGGACAAGGTTCCTGAACCTTAGTACAAGGTACCTGACGCTGAGGACAAGGTTCCTGACCCTGAGGACAAGGTTCCTGACGGTGAGGAGAAGGTGCCTGACGCTGAGGACAAGGTTCACGACACTGAGGACAAGGTTCCTGAACCTGATCATGAGGACAAGGTTCCTGACGCTGAGGACAAGGTTCCTGAACCTGACAACAAGGTTCCTGACGCTAAGGACAAGGTTCCTGACGCTGAGGACAAGGTTCCTGACCCTGAGGACAAGGTTCCTGACGCTGAGGACAAGGTTCCTGACCCTGAGGACAAGGTTCCTGACCCTAAGAATACGGTTCCTGACGCTGAGGACAAGGTTCCTGACCCTCGCGACAAGGTTCCTGATCATGAGGACAAGATTCCTGACCCTGAGGACAAGGTTCCTGACCCTGAGGACAAGGTTCCTGACGCTGAGGACAAGGTCCCTGACGCTGAGGACAAGGTTCGTAAAGATGAGGACAAGGTTCCTGCCGCTGAGGAATGGGTTCCTGACGCTGAGGACAAGGTTCCTGAGCCTGAGGACAAGGTTCCTTACGCTGAGGACAAGGTTCCCGACCTTGAGGAAAAGGTTCCTGACGCTGAGGACAAGGTTCATGACGCTGAGGACAAGGTTCCTGACCCTGAGGACAAATTTCCTGACGCTAAGGAGAAGATTCCTGACGTTGAGGACAAGGTTCCTGCTGCTGAGGACAAGGCTCTTGACGCTGAGGACAATGTTCCTGACGCTGAGGACAAGGTTCTTGACGCTAAGGAAAAGGGTCCTGACCCTGAGGACAAGATTCCTGACCCTGAGAATAAGGTTCCTGACGCTGAGAACAAGGTTCCTGACCCCCGCGACAAGGTGTCTGACCATGAGGACAAGATTCCTGACCCTGAGGATAAGGTTCCTGACCTTGAGGACAAGGTTCCTGACGCTGAGGAGAAGGTTCCAGACGCTGAGGACAAGGTTCCTCACGCTGAAGACAAGGTTCCTGACCCTGAGGACAATGTTACTGACGCTGAGGACAAGGTTCGTGACCCTGAGGACAAGGTTCTTGACGCTGAGGCCAAGGTTCCCTGACGCTAAGGACAAGGTTTCTGACGCTGAGGACAAGGTTTTTGACGCTGAGAACAAGGTTTCTGACGCTGAAGACAATGTTCCTGACCCTGAGAACAAGGTTCCTGACGCTAAGAACAAGGTTCCTGACGCTGAGGACAAGATTCCTGACCCTGAGGGCAAGGTTTCTGACCCTGAGGACAAGGTTCCTGACGCTGAGGACAAGATTCCTGACCCTGAGGACAAGGTCGCTGACACTGACGACAAGGTTCTTGACGCTGAGGACAAGGTTCCTCACGCTAAGGACAAGTTCCTGACGCTGAGGGCAAGGTTCCTGACGCTGAGGACAAGGTTCCTGACGCTTAGGACAAGGTTCTTGACGCTGAGGACAAGATTCTTGGCGCTGAGAACAAGGTTCCTGAGGTTGAGAACAAGGTTCCTGACGTTGAGAACAAGGTTCCTGACGCTGCGAATAAGGCTGCTGGCGCTGAGGACAAGGTTTCTGACGCTGAGGACAAGGTTCCTCACGCTGAGAGCAAGGTTCCTGACCCTGAGGGCAAGGTTCCTGACGCTGAGAACAAGGATTCTGAGGTTGAGGACAAGGTTCCTGAGGCTGAGGACAAGGTTCTTGACGCTGAGGACAAGGTTTCTGACGCTAAGGAGAAGGTTTCTGACGCTGAACAAGGTTCTTGACGCTAGGGACAAGGTTCCAGACGCTGAGAACAAGGTTTCGGACGCTGAGAACAAGGTTCCTGACGCTGAGAACAAGGTTCCTGACCATGAGGACAAGGTTCTTGATCCTGAAGACAAGGTTCTTGACGCTGAGGACAAGGTTCCTGACGCTGAGAACAATATTCTGACGCTGAGGACAAGGTTCCTGACGCTGAGAAGAAGGACGCTGAGAACAAGGTTCATGACGCTGAGGGACAAGGTTCCTGACGCTGAGGACAAGGTTCCTGACGCTGAGGACCACCCTGAGGACGCTGAGGAGAAATTCTTACGCTGAGGACAAGGCTCTGACGCTGAGGACAAGGTTCCTGAAGACAAGGTTCTGACGCTAAGAAAACTGACCCTGAGGACAAGGTTCCTGACGCTGAGAACAATATTCTTGACGCTGAGGACAAGGTTCCTGACGCTGAGAAGAAGGTTTCTTACGCTGAGAACAAGGTTCATGACGCTGAGGACAAGGTTCCCGACCCTGAGGAAAAGGTTCCTGACGCTGAGGACAAGGTTCCTGACGCTGAGGACAAGGTTCGTGACCCTGAGGACAAATTTCCTGACGCTGAGGAGAAGATTCGTTACGCTGAGGACAAGGCTCTTGACGCTGAGGACAAGGTTCCTGACGCTGAGGACAAGGTTCGTGACGCTAAGGAAAAGGTTCCTGACCCTGAGGACAAGGTACCTGACCCTAACAATACGGTTCCTGACGCTGAGAACAAGGTTCCTGACCCTCGCGACAAGGTTCCTGACCATGAGGACAAGATTCCTGACCCTGAGGACAAGGTTCCTGACCCTGAGGACAAGGTTTCTGACGCTGAGGAGAAGGTTCCAGATGCTGAGGACAAGGTTCGTGACGCTGAGGATAAGGTTCCTGACACTGAGGACAATGTTACTGACGCTGAGGACAAGGTTCGTGACCCTGAGGACAAGGTTCTTGACGCTGAGGACAAAGTTCCTGACGCTAAGGACAAGGTTTCTGACGCTGAGGCAAGGTTTTTGACGCTGAGGACAAGGTTTCTGACGCTGAAGACAATGTTCCTGACCCTGAGAACAAGGTTCCTGACGCTAAGAACAAGGTTCCTGACGCTGAGGACAATTGTTGAAACATCATATCCGATAGACACGGCATTCATGGAAAACAGGTATAAATATTAATGTAACATAGGCGTGAAAATTTTTTAAACTTAATAATGTATAGTTAACTATTTTTGTAAACCTAATTTGTCTCCATGGTGCGAGAACCCCCAGTTTACATACCTCTCAAATACGGGAAATTCTATCGTAGACTACATTTTTGTCGGAAACGACGTAATCGAGTATGTTGACTTAGTGCAAGTACTCGAAGAGTACCCAGGCAACATAGCATTTCATTTACCAGTAACTATTAGTATAAATTTACACTCGGATGTGACGGAAGAAAAAACCAGCAATGATAACATGAATTATTTATTTGAAAAGATATCGTGGAAAAGCTGCACTACGGAACACCTTCAAAGCTACAATAAAAAACTGGTTAACTCGGCAACTGATCTGCTGAGCAAAGATTTTTCGGACATTAACAATTTTTATGAAGAGCTGAGTAATTTGATAAAGAGTGCGGCAATGGTCCTACCACGGGTTCAATATAAGAAACATATAAAACCGTACTGGAATAACTGTCTTAAAGAAGCGAAACGTTCCGTTATGGCTGCGAGGGCAAAATGGAAAAAAGAGGGATCCCGAGGGCCTCAGAAAACGTTTATTATAGACGATATAAGAAAGCTAAGACTGCATATAGGAAGGCACAACGTAGAGCTGTTTGGGAATACGAAAGAAAAGAATTCGATGACATAGCCAATTCTATAGAGTTAGATCACGAGACGTTTTGGAAACTGATTAAAACCAAAGTACGTAGGAAAAAGAAAAAAACAAAAGGTGGTGGCTTTAGAGGTGGATAATGCTGTGCTTGCGAACCCCCAAGTAGTCGCAGATCTCTGGGCAAACTATTACGAGAAGTTAGCTACCCCTCCGGAACATGTGGACCAAGAAGAGATGAAAAGTAAAGTTGATGAAATTTTAAAGAACTCGGAGGGCATGTATGACTATACATTTAATTCTTCTATAACAGCGGAGGAAATCACTTCAGTAATTACTACTCTTCCTAAGGGAAAATCACCCGGTATAGATGGAATTACATATGTACATATTAAATATGGAGGTGAAATTATCGTAGGACTGCTACTGAATTTGTTTAGTTATATTATCGAGCTTGAAGAGATTTCAAAGTCCTTCAAAATGGCGATTAAGATCCCTATTCCTAAAGGCAATAAAACTTCACGAACTTTTGACGATCACAGAGGAATCAGTTTGTTGCCTTGCATAAATAAAATGCTTGAGATAATTGTATTATCACGACTGCAGAAGGAAGAAAAGTACTCTCACCAACCTCTTCAGGGTGGTTACCAAAGAGAACAGGACGCTCTAACAACGTGTTTCGTCATCGATGAAGTAGTAAATCATTGTCGCGAAGAAAAAGAAAAAGTTGACGTAGCGTATATGGATATTACAAAAGCGTTTGATACTATGTGGATTGAGGCAATGTTATTTAAGCTGCACTACAACAAAGGAATTGCGGAGAAAACATGGAGGCTTATTAAAAACTGGTATATAGACATGAAAGAGTTCGTGTTTATCGGAGGAAAAGTATCACGTACTTACAATCTTTATCAGGGTACACGTCAAGGGGAGTGCTATCACCTTGGCTCTTCCTTGTCTTTATTGACGATCTAATTGAGGAGTTAAAAAACACCAAAGCAGGAATTTTCCTAGGTTCACTATATTTTGGCTCACCCATGTTCGCAGATGATTTGACAATGTTATCGCGCCTGAAATCCGGGTTAGACAGGATGCTAAAGACTGCATGGGAATACAGCCAAAAATGGAGATTTAATTTTAGTGTTACGAAAACAGTTATATTAATATTTGGAGAGAGCCAGCAAGAACACGAAGCAAACAATAGGTCGAGAGCTTGGAAACTTGGTTCCCAGATTTTATCTGAAAAGGGGTCGTGGTCAAATCTCGGAAAACTTTGGCTTGCAAATAGAGACAGTAAGGAAATCGTTTCAAAAGCAACATGTGCGGGTAGAGAAGTTTGTTTTATGTTGATGGCTGTTGGTACTCGCTACGGGGGATTAAATCCTATGGTTTCGTCTAATTTATGGCGTAAGATTGGCATTCCAAAGTTCCTGTATGGATCAGAGCTCTGGCAGCTGAAAATGAACAATTATATTGAGTTAGAAAAGGTCCAAAATATCATGGTCAGGATCATGCAGGGACTATTACCAGGAACGTCTGGGTCTGCGGCACGGGGACTTCTCGGCTTACTTTCAGTTGAAGCGGAGATAGATAAGCGAAAATTGTATTTTCTGGGAAGATTGATAAACATGGGTGCCGGTGCACCATGCCGCCGTGTCTTCTTTATCAGGTTACTAAGGTGGAAGTGGAACTGTGGCAAAAAATTAACCGGATTTGTGCCAGACATTGTTGAAATTCTCGCAAGGTACGACCTTTTGCAAGTTTTAATCACTTATATTCTCACAAATGATTTCCCTATAAAAACTCTGTGGAAAAAGACTGTCAATAAACATGTTCGAGAGCAATATGATCGTGTTTGGCGAGAAAAGATTAGTAAGAACAATCAACTATATCTCTACTCTAAGGTTCATACAAAGAATGAAGTTTCTCATTGGTGGATAATAGCAAGAAAGAATCCATCCTTCATGAAGGAGATTAATAACGTCATAAGACTAATTTGTGGCTCATACAAGGTCAGGGGGAAGCGTGTGGATCATCCTAATACGTACATTGACTATTGTGACTCATGCAATCGTAACTATTTAAATCCTGTTAATCATGCTCTGTCTTATTGCTTAGGTTCGCAAAACGAGCGTGAACTATTGTGGGACTGGGTAAACGATAATCTTCCTTTAGAGGTTGCTGTTTATTTAGCAACATTATCGGACACAGATTTTATGCTTACTCTTTTAGGCTTACAATCAGAAACTTTATGCTTTGATATGGAACTGTGGACGTTATATTTGTTGCAATCTGCATGTTATATTTCATCTTGTTTTCAAACTAGTGTAATTTCAATTTAAGTAGTTAGTTAATTAGTTAGTTAGTTTTATTTCTATGTATAAGTATGTATGTGTGTGTATATGTGTATTGATATATACTTTCTTGTAAAATACTCTTCAGAAATTGGAGGTAACAAAGATTTTAAACTGACTGACTGACTGACTGACTGGCTGGCTGGCTGGCTGGCTGGCTGACTGGCTGACTGACTGACTGACTGTTCTTGACGCCGAGGACAAGGTTTTTGACCCTGGGGAGAAGGTTTCTGACCCTGAGGACAAGGTTCCTGACGCTGAGGACAAGGTTCCTGACGCTGAGGACAGGGTTCCTGACCCTGAGGACAAGGTTCCTGACGCTGAGGACAATGTTCCGGACGCTGATAAAGATAAAGAACACGAATAATATTTTAGCTAAGCTTTGTAGTAAATAGAAGTGGGCAATTGTCCAGCATGGTAATATTAACATATCTAATCTTAATGCCTCTGGCTTGCACCTGAATATAACAGGTACAGCAACACTAGCAAAGAACTATATCAACTTTCTAAAGCATTGAGTAAGTCTTCCAAAGGTCAGTGACCTAGAATACATCTACCATATTTGTAGCATATTTAATAATCCTGACAAAACAAATCTTGAAAATGTAAATCAAACTCCTATGGCAACCTCAAATATTGATACATTAAGCAATAACTCCTTCAAACAAGATGAATTAGTACCAACAATTCGTGGCTGTAAAATAGCCAGCTTAAACATTTCTAGTCTGCCGAAACATATAGACGAATTAAGAATCGCAATGAAAAATAATGAAATTGATGTCCTTGCAATTAATGAAAGCAGAATGGACAACAGTATAGCACCTGAGTTAATAACAATACATGGCTACAAATGTGTTTCCAAAGATAGAAATAGATTTGGGGGCGGTACTGGTTTCTACATTAGAAATACAATAAATTATTGTCGTAGGCCAGACCTAAATGATAATGATCTTGAAATTTTAAGAATTGAAATTATTAAAAACAAAGTTAAGCCATTTCTAATTACCACATGGTACAGACCGCCAAGCGATTCAATCAGCACTCTATATAAATTTGAGATTTGTTTAAAATTAATTGATAACGAAGACAAAGAAAGTATTATCTTAGGGGATATTAATTGTGATCTCCTAGACAACAATCCCACGTGACTAGTATCAGAATTGAAATGTATTACAAATGTATATCAATACGAACAATTGATAAAAGAGCCTACTAGGGTTACAAAAGATACTTCATCCCTTATAGATCATTTTTATACAACAAACACCAACCACATTATTTCTAGTGATCACTATTTGATCTATGGCATTCGTAAATTTAAAACTTTTAAACAGTCTCCACGGTTTATTGAATACCGGGATTTTAAACACTTCAATGAACAAGACTTTATGTGTAATCTAACATCGTTATCAAATTTGAATCTCATCCATGGTGATCCTAATAAATCTTGGACGATTTGGAAAAACAAATTCCTAGAGATTGTAAATATACATGCCCCGCTTAAAAGACTTAAAGTATCCAGTAAACAAATACCATGGTTAACGAATGATCTTATTTTAAAAAAGCGGGAGAAGACATATTTAAAACGCAAAGCGGTGTTATCAAAGTCTATGACTGACTGGTCCGACTACCGCCATGCAAGAAGTCGTTATAATAAACTAGTGAAAGATACAATCCGCAGTCATTTTCAAAATAAATTACATAATAACCAAGGTGATCTTAAAAAAACCTGGAAAACGATTAATGAGTTAATTAATAAGTCTAAAAAAGAGAATACAATTCTAGAAGTAAGAATTGATTCTGTTAAAATTACTGATCCGATAAACATCTCAAATGCATTTAATAAGCATTTTGTAGAAATGGGAGATAAACTTTCGAATGATATACCTCAATCAAATGTAACTCCTGAAAGTTATCTTAGCGACGTTCAAAATTCAGTAAATCAGTTAACCTGTTTTAGAGAAATTACAGAACCAGAAATATTAGGTTTACTTCAGGGATTGGTTGCCTCTAAAGCATCCGGCATCGATGGAATTTCAGCAAAAATTTTGATAATCGCAGCTCCAGCAATTACTCCATCAATTGTATCAATTTTTAATCAATCAATCGCAACTGGTATATTCCCATCTGATTGGAAAGTCGCTAGGGTAGCTCCAATACACAAAACAGGAGCTAAGCACGATATGGAAAATTACAGACCGATATCTGTTATTTCAATTATAGCGAAGATTATGGAGAAACTGATACATAACCAATTATATGACTATCTTATAGCTTCAAACCTACTAACAAATTCCCAACACGGCTTTAGACCATGTCATTCAACAACCACAGCTCTATTAGATATCACTAATAGATGGTACCAAAACATGGACGTAGGACAATTAAATGGAGTTGTATTTTTAGATTTAAAAAAGGCCTTTGATACTGTTGACCACGACATACTTCTAAAAAAATTAAAAATTTATGGCATAAAAGGCATGGCACTCTGTTGGTTGCGATCATATCTATCAGACAGAATCCAATATTGTCAAGTAAATGGTCACCTGTCAGACCCCCTAACCGTGAAGACCGGAATACCACAAGGCTCGGGATTAGGCCCATTATTGTTTTTGATCTATATTAAATGAGGTTATGCAATAACAAAGGTTAACAGCTAGGGAACCAAGCCTCGTTACGTCGGCACATCATGTGACCAAAAGGGGGCCGGGCGAGTATGTAATAAGAGGTTGGCCGCGCATTGGTGATATTAGTAATCATTGTGCGTTGGAAGCGTAGTAAACGTATTAGGAACAAAGATTTTTACCAGAGTTCGTGATCGGGCTTCAGAGTTCAGACGGCAGTATCGCAGGTTCCTAACCGTACTGGCAGGGCACCAAACGAAGGAGCGTCGCAACTCGAGATGATGGGAAACCCACCACAAATTTCGCTCGTAAAAAAAACGGTCAGGTAGGCAATAGTTCTCTTCGCCAGAGTTCAGGTACGTTAACTTTGTTGTTCATTTGTTGACGGTATTAATGTTGCGGCGGAATCTCAGACTATTCCCACAGTTAGCAGCCGCTTGGCGGTGTAAGTTAACATATATATAACGAACGGAGCTGCCCCAGCTGTTTACCTTTGAGGGCGCAACGGTGGTGCCGAAACATAATGCGCATAAAATTAAAGAACGCGGTGATAGAATGGGTAGAATGCTTTATAATAGCTATACGGCGGTGCTCACAACCCCTTTTCACGTCAAGGTCGCGCGATTTGTGGGTTTACATGGCGCCGATCATTCGGACAGCTAAACGTTTCAGAGGCAAAGAACGACCACGGATTCCGCTGCTAATAATTTACGCATTTGGGGTGTTATGCTTTATATAACTACCACACGGCAGTGGTAAATCAATCCGAGTTAGCTAGAAACATGCCTAGCCCGACCGCACAACGTAGCTTTCGCGGTAAGAAGCACAAGCGCATTCAGAGTAAAGTTAGTGATCAATCGCAACGTAATCAAACGTTGCACCTGGTCTAGTTCTGTTAAATGTCTGTCAACACGAACACCTAAACACAGTTGTATTAATAGACAATTTTCCTATTAAAGTTCAGGATTTGCAACTTGCCGCACATCCGGACTGTTCGAGGTCGAATTTATTGTTAGTGGTCTTCGCACGGGTTTTCACAGGGATATTTTTACATCTTCGGTTAGCTGCCACCAACTGTTCGTCGGTCTTAGCTCATCCTAATGTCATGGACAAATATCTATCAGACGAAACTCGGGCTCGAACTGTGGAAGATCCATTTGATACGCCACCTTCTCCTAATTACATTGACCTGAGGGGTCAGGTGTCTTAAATCGCTAAATATCTGTTTTCCTGTTTGTTTGGGGTTTTTTTTCTTTTTTTTTGTTTTTGTTTTTTTTCCTTCGTCGTCGAGAAGTCGATTTTGCGTTGGCGCATCGCAGGCTCAGTTTCCAGTGTTCCAGTTATTCCAGTTTACTATACAGATCAGTTTTCGGGATGGCGGCCATTCAAATAGTGACCAATGGTGTCAGTCTCCAACAACTTATTTATTTGTCAACGAATTTTAGCGCGTTTTTCTTTGGATCTCGAGTTTATCCTACTCTGCACTTTCTCGGAAGTTTATCCTACTCTGCACTTTCTCGGAAGCTGGGTGTTGGTTTTGGTTGTTTTTTTTTTGTTTTTTTTCTTCGTGCAACGTCTCTGAAGGATGCAATATCTGGATCGCTGAGTTTTTCGAATTTTATACTTTTAATGCGGAGTCACGGAAGGTGGACGGTGTTGTTTGCGTTGGCGCATCGCATGCTCAGGGACCATGTGCATTGTGGATAGCGTTTGTATTTGTGAGTAATGCTTGTGTTTCGTTGGGCATTGCGAGGGTGTCTTCTGGGGATCACGTCACGCTTTTGGCTTTGGTCACCGTGTCACGTTTTGTATTCTTGTCTATTGCACCACGGCACGTGTGTCGTCGTTTTCAGGTCGGTGTGGGCGCCTGAGCAGGCGTCTTATTTGCATGAGAATCGCTTTGGACTAATTCCAAAGAAAAACAAACCGCGCGGCGTTTGATTTGAGACATGTCGTTTCCAGCTGACCACAGCGTGAACAATGGGATCTAAAAACGAATCTCCAGTATTTTATAGTACTGTACAAGATTCCAGCCGAGTAATAGTAAAGATTGGTTAGGGGCATTAATGGGCAAATGAACACCCAAGGGTGTACTGTATTATCCCCATTTATCGAGGTAATCGATATTTGTTAGGTATGAAATGGCGGGGACAATATCTTGTGATTTTGCTACCCTTTGGTCTACGAAGCGCCCCGGGGATCTTCAATTCGTTGGGGATGCTGTCGGGTGGATTTTACAGCACAACTGTCGTGTTGCCGATCTTCTGCATTACTTTGACGATTTTTTTACGCTTGGCCCAGCTGGTGCTATGGTTTGCTCGAACTCTCAACGCCTTGCAGGTTTCATCACTCGACATCGGTAGTCCTTTAGCTCCGGACCAATGCGAGGGTCCAGAACGGCGAGCCCCTGTCGCGCAAGCAATTAGTTACGTGGATACACGACTCAGCGGCTTGGTTAGGCCTCGAGGGCAACTACTCAGGACATAGCTTCGAATCGGAGCGGCTACAACGGCTGCGTCGGCTGGTGTTGTTCCTGACCACTTAATTAAATCTATCGGCAGATGGCTCAGTTAGGCGTATCAGATATTTATACGGACACCTGTTGATTGATGGTGTGGCAGCTCCATTGATCTGGGATAAAAATAGTTAGAGATCATTGCAGTCTCTTACTGTAGTGACTTAACTTGCACGAGTAATTTAAAGTGGGATTTGGGATGAATTGGGCTAAGCACAAATAATATTAGATATGAAACTAACAAACTCGTGTGACATGTTGTCTCTTGTGTGTGGGCTTACAAGGTACAAGAGTTACCATACAGTCTGGTATCACTCGTAGGTCGCATTTTGCAAGGTCTTCCGTTATATACCATACAGTCTGGTATCGCTTAGCCTTACAGGTTGGTATCGCTTGGGAGTCGCAAGTCGCGATACGTTTCCCGTAATACATTCTGGTATTCCTTGTAGCCCACAATTTGTTACGATACTGTCTGTTAGCGCCTATGGGTTGCAATTCGCAATATGTTTCGTTATATACCACACAGTTTGGTATCGCTTTGGGCCCACAATTGCTACGTTTTATACCATACAGGTTGGTTCCGCTTGTGGATTATAAATTCGCAATGCGTTCCGTTGTATACGATACAGTCTGGCATCGCTTGTGGCCCACGATAAGATTTGTTACCTTATATACCATACAGTCTGATATCGCCTTATGTGTCGCAATGCTAAAAGAATCTTTTTACAAAAGGAATATGACACAAAATACCTACAATCTCAGAAATAGCGAAAATGATTTAACTCTCCCAAAAC